TAGGCGAAGGTAAACAAAGTGGATGTATACATTCCTTTTGAACCCATATGTACAGTTTTCTTGCGTTGATCCCTATGGCTTCCGTTATGAATAAGATGCGAAGTCTTACACCTTTAGGGAGATTGCAAGGAACACGGCATATCACAGAGAAGGCATGATTTATGCTTCAACACGTCAAAGCTTGAAAGGCATGATCTACCTTAATCTGATGTCCGCGTTCTACCAAATGTGATGAGATTGAACTGTTGATGCTCTTTGTCATTCTTTTCCCTAACCAAGTTGTACATGTAAACGAGTGCGCGTGGGTAAAGCCCTTTGAATACGGCCTATGTAGCTAGCTTCACAGGAGCAGTTGAGCTCATAAGTGCACATTGAAGTGGCCACTATAGGTAACTTATCTTTGATTCACTGTGTCAGTAACGGTTTGGTTAAGAAACTGACAAAACGTTTCTCTGCATTCAATGTCTTCTCGACTAATGTACTTGATCGACGTGTTAAGATATCCTAGGCAATACCACTTTTAAAACAGTCTAAGATATATATAGGCTTCTTAGCAACATCGTGTCTTTATTTATCTTCCCTCTAGATTTCGACAAATGTTTATTTGTGAAGTCTAGGGGATAACCATCTTGCTACAATGTTATCTTCAGCTTATTAATTTTTTCTTCAACACTGTCATCAGAACAAATGTATCTTATTCTGTAACTCAGGCATTTGACCAGATTTCTTGTATACTGAATCGGTATGAAGCTATGAAAGTGAATGTAAATTGACCAGTCCATGTGTTCTTTAGAAAAATATTCCTTTTAATATACTCATCCGTTTTCCTGGTGAGGAGGACATCTAGGAAAGGAATACTATTCCCTTGTTCTTCCTCTCATGTCAACTTCACAGCTTGGTGAATATTACTGAAGGTACTCAAAATATCATCTTCATTTTGGCTACTGTATACGCTGGGCTGCGGAAAAGAACCTAGAAGATTTGGATTTCGCCAATGACTTGTGTCTGATGCCACACAAACTCGAAGATCAACTGGCAAAACTAACGAGTTGACAGAAGAGGCAGGCCAGTGAAGACGGGATTCCAAGTGAACGTAGAGAAGACAGAGGTGATAATGATACCCAACCAACAACAACAACAAGCTCCAATCACCATCAACGGGAGAAACTTGAAGGAAGTAGCCTCTTTCACCTACTCATACGTAGGCAGCGTCGTTTCAACTACAGGTGGCACATACACAGACGAGGATGTTAAAGCCAGGATCGGAAAGACAGCAAGACAGGCATTCATTAACCTGAAACCAGTGTGGAGATATTCTGCACTCAGCATAAACAACAAGATCCTGATTTTCAACACTATTGCCAGTCAAGTCAGTGCTTCTGTATGGCTCAGAAACTTGGCGCGTTATGAAAGGGATTTCCAACAAATTACAGACATTCATCAACAACTGCCACCTACGCTGGCTCCTCGCTGAAGATCAGATGGCCAGAATAATAAGAATAAGCAACAAGGAACTCTGGCTGGCTGGCAACGAACCAACCAAGAAGCTATCGCTCAACAAATATGCATTGGAAGGAAGTGGAGATGGATTGGGCATACACTGAGAAGACCATTCGGGGACATCACTCGCCAGGCCAGTTGCTGGGCGTCCTAGCTGACAGTGACATGCAGGAGGTCACGCGAAGAGGAGATGAGAGCTTGTGGTCTGTCGTTGAGCCAGGTTCGACAGATTTCAGAGAACAGAACGCATTGTAGACGTGCTACTCAATCCTTATGTTCTATTAGGAACCTAAGGGAAAAATAATAATATTACAATAATAAAGCCTTAAGACGAAGTTATTGAAAACAGTTGTTCACTCAAATTATTCTTGTTCTGAATTATTGACCATTCAGCCACTAGTTTAAGGCTTAATAATCCACCTAAATTTACAGGTCGCTCAGTGTACATCAGGCGGTCAGAAACATATTGTCGGGATTATATTCTTTTCTTCTGACTATGGTAACTTATCACACAAACGAGTAGCTTAGAAACCAGATCAGCCACTCCTAGACTTCAAAATGGATACAATATCTCAGGCTGTTGTATACAAAACTGAGGCCTGCTTGCAATCAGAACCAAAAGAGTATGATAACGATACCTGCCTAAATGAGCCAGTGCATGCTTCAGAGGATATGTCGACGAAATCCATACAACCTGCAGAAGATTACTCTGGAAAACTGGAGGGTAATTAAAGAACTCCAGGACCACAGCAAGGTTGCTCATGAGTATATTATTTGTTCAGGCGTTTATCAAAGCCTAAGTGGATTTGATTTATTCATGTTGACAAATTTGTCTATTCTTTTCAATACTAAGAATATAATGGTGAATTTTAATTGTACGCAACTAGTTGACACTACCTGTGAACATTTTTAGAAAGTTAATGCTGAACAGAATTAAAATTCAAAATCTTAAGATATTGGAGATGTTTCTGCATATATTTTTCAGTCTTTTTTTCGGAAGCGACGAGAAAAAGATTCATCGAATACTCCTCTTCAGTGTGCAAACAAAACATTCGTCTCATTACCAACTTTAATGAATTCCATTAAGTTAAATCAATCCAAGGAGAAGACGGGGATACGCCGAACTGGGGAAAACATCGTAGAAGATTTGGATTTCCCCGATGACTTGTGTCTAGTGCCACACACACTTGACGATCTACAGGCGGAAACTAACAAGTTGACAGAAGAGGCGAGGGTGACATGGAGGAGATCGTGCGAGGAAGAAATGAGAGCTTGTGAGTTGTCGTGGAACCAGGTTCGAAAGATTGGAGAGAGCAGAGTGCACTGGAGACGTGCTACTGAAGCCCTATGTTCCACTAGGAACCCAAGGGACAAATAATAATAATATAATAAATCAATCCAAGTCATAAAATAGATTCATTAGGCTATCATTAAAGATCAATTTGTCACTATCCAGTAAAATGTTGCTGGTGAACAACAAAACAGTGTTTTATTCCCGTTTACTATATCAAGGGGAGGAATGTGAAGGTTATCGCATATAAAACTCCGTTCATAACAAGTCACTATATAGTTATAACAAGTGGCGACAGCATTTTCTCTACTACTGCCAATTCGGAAAATTATGCAACTATCAGCCAAGGTCTGCGGTTGATTTCAGACTAACCTCCGAATGGTTGAACCCACAGTTCATGGCTGCTCTTTAGAACTTCACAATATCATTCTCCAAGTATGTCACTAAGGAACATTATACAAACTACCTTAAAATTAACAAAAAATCCCCAGAATCCTAAAACAGTATCGGTCATTAATTAATTAAGCCAGTTGAGACAAACTAAGTTAATGACCTAATCTGAGTTCAAAAAGGTTATGATTAAACGTCAAACAACAAAATCGGTAACTGAAATAGCAGGTGAATGTAGTAGAAGCTAGACGGGGTGGGGCGGGGGGTGGGGTAGAGCACTTCACTCATAATTTGAAGGAAGTCCTCGGCAATATTGTCTGTGAATCTGAGGTTTAGAGGTACTTTCACCGCAGTTGATTGCATCTGTTCCATAATCCTTTATTCTTTCATATTTTTCTCTACAAATCTAGATGGATAGGCAGTCCCTAACAGTATCTGTTGAAGTGTTTCTTTCTTATTCTTTGTAAGAATGAGGGTACAAGATTCCTTTTCTTTCTTACTTAAAAGTATCCAACCTTGAAAAACTGTCAGTTGCCCGTTCTAGGTATGTTTTCTGTAGATAAACTCTTCAATGGAATTATCAAGTCTCCTTTGAAGTCTGACACCGTGAAAATTCAACATCCAGACTGAACTAATGGAAATTTTGACTAGAGGATGGCTGTCATTGAAATTTTGAGGGAGACTTGTCAAGTCTAGGTGATAACCAACCTCAAACAATTAAGGTATCACCTATGTATCTTATATTATACATAAGTCTGATCGATTTTGGAGGGAAGTGTAATATTGTCACGGCTAGACCTGAAGTAGTATACATGTGGAGGACCTCTCGTTATACTTATCTGCAACATTCTATAATTTTATTCATATATTTACTAATGCGCAGCTGTGAAAATAAGAAATCAATGAGTATATTCCTTATGATATGCAAAGGCTAGTCAGATATTACAAGACAATATCTTGTATTAGTCAAAAAATGAATTTCATAAATTACCGACTACACCATTCAGTTTATTCTTGTCTGATAAAGAAAGGTTGCATTTCTGTATGCATAATGAATAGGCTGCAAAGAACTGATACTTCAAAGAGTATTACTGGTTATAGGATTGTGGTACAGGTTTACGCTCAACTGTAGTGAAGTGATTAGTATCCACAGCTAAATAAATAGTTTATTTTCAACAATAATGATGATATACAACATATCCAATCAGGACTTTGTCTTCAATAAAACATTTTTGGGTTCGAACAAGTGAAAAAAATAAAGTCAATTTCGTGCACTAAAACACTTTCGTCATATACTGCTTCTAGTATTGCTTCCCACTCTAACCAGTTTTATTACCTTCAGGTTGGTAGTCATCATGGACTGACATCAGTTAGAAGAAGATTGGAAACCTGAAAGCACTAGACAGATGTTCCGTTCCAGTATGGGACTCCTCAGAAATGCGGAATCATGACCCCGTAAGCATCGAACTTAGGATCTGTAGGTTCCGCTGACAGGAGGTTACCATTGAACCAGTAGTCCATATTTCCTATTTCTATCAGTTCACCATGTAGCGCGATATACATTCAATGTCATCGTTGAGTATCTGTCTAGCAGTGTCCAATGCTCCTAGATTTACAATGTTTCTCAAACTGATGTCAATCCATTATGAACACCAACCCGCAATCCCCACAACCACCCCCCCCCCAAATTGCATTATTATTACTATTCGACTATAATGCGGAGTAAAATGTAAACGGGAAATAAATTGAATTTCAATTATTATTACACATGTACCCTATTAGTTAATTTGAATCAAGTAGTAGGCTTCCAAAAACTTACCCAAAGCAAAGTAGAAACAAGCAGTTTGGCCAAAAGAAGGTTTAGTGCTGATACGTTTCAAAATAACCTGGAATAATATAAAGTAATAAGAGTGAAGAGAGAAGAAAAAAAGAAGAGAAATGGTACATAATTAAACTTTCTCCTTATGGAAAAACAGTCATGATTAAAATAATATACTTGTGGGGTAATCTGAATTCACATCATTAATTGTAGACAGACGATTTATTGATAGAGAGACAGAACGCATCTTGGTTGAATTGTGTTATCTGAGTTGGGTTGTTTAATTGTGAAGCTTTCATCGCCCTTCTAGACGACATCATAAGCACATCCATCCATCCATGGAACCCTAATTGGCCAGGGAAACTATGTCCCTTCTGCTCAATGAAGACGCAAACATCACAGAACATACAAAACTTAAATGTTCAAGTCTGATGGAACTCATCAACCTTTGTCTGACAAAATACTTTCAGTTCAACGGCATGATTACAAACAGATGAAAGGAACTCCAATGGGACCACCGATATCCGGACTATTTGCAGAAGCAGTGGTGCAAAGACTGGAAGTCATCATTCTACCTGTGATCAAACCAAAACTTTGCATTCGCTATGTGGACGACACTTCTGTCATTATTAAGATCATGCAGAAAACACCCATAATTTTATCAACAACGTTTTCAGTGACATCAAATTCACAATGCAGAAAGAATCAAACAACCAACCACCATTCCTCGATGTTCTAGTCAATAGAACAAATACAGGGAAGCTGGAAATCCAAGTGTACAGGAAGCCAACACACACTGACTGATCAAATCCTCAACTACAATAGCAACAACCCAACAACACACAAAGTCAGTTGCCTGCAGACTCTATTCAAAAGAGTGAGAACACACTGCACTGCAGTACAACAACTTCACGGAGAAACGAAGAAAATTACTTGATGTCCACCCTAAAGAAGAACGGCTACCCATGAAACTTTATCAGAAGATACCCACCCCCTACATCATCAACTACAAAGTCATCGACAGAAATCAATAAACGCGTCGTCCTACCATACATAAAGAATATATCAGAAATCACGACAAGATTGCTGAGACCGCTTATGTGGCTCATAAAACAACAGATTCCCTACAAACACTATTATCCAGACCAATGGATAAAACAACCAAACAAGACAAACCAAACACCATTTACAAAATCAACTACAATAATTGTAGTCAACACTACTCATTGGACAAAGTGGTCGCCCTCTTCACCTTCATCTACATGAGAACACCAATTGGCTACTATACATCACACATGACATTTCATCACTCATTTCAATCCACGTGCATAACAACTATGGAGGTGAATTGAATTTCGACAATGTAGAAATGTTGGACGGAGAGAGGAAACACAAAGAATGTCATCAGAGAATTCCTAGAAGAGTGACATTCAGATCAGTCAGTCAGTCAGTCAGTCAGCAAGCAATCAATAGATGAGTGTATAGACATAGGTCCAATCTATCAATGAATGAGAAAAATGATAAACGACAGAAAGGTGAGAGGTGAAGGAGAGGAACAGCCAACAGGAAAGCCTATACAGTCAGTCAATGACACAACAATCGAAGGAAACAACCAGTCACAGACCACATCGTCAGAGCAAGCCACTAAATCACTCACGGAGAGAATTGACAGCTGACTTCATACTGAAGTTAGTGCTGATGATGTCGTCCAGGAGAAAGACGAGGAAAGCTTCACGAATAAAAAACAATTCATCTGAGAGAACACAATACAACCAAGACGATCCACCCGAGCTACAAATATTCTCTACTATTTCAGATAGAACGTATGTATGACATGTAAATGTTTAATCAAATTATTTCACCGTATTCATCAATAAACAAAGACAAATAAGTATCGGTAGTTTATCATTCGAAAAACATTCTATGGTTAGCCTCATTAAGGGAAATAGCAAATCGTACATCATAATAACCCTTAACCGAAATGGTATAATAATCAAGATTTATAGTAAAGCGTTTTACTTCATCGCTGAAGTATTAGAACAAAAGTGACTTTTTCTAAGTTCACTATGTTCCCACTGTGTTTAAAGTAGCATATGTAGATAGATAAATAGTTAGGCGATATGTCATGAGTTTTACCGGGATATTTGCTTCAACAGTAGGTTTGTATCATTTAGGATCGAATAACGTTGAGAATAACAGTATTTTCCAGGTGTTATATCAACCGAAAAGCGGAAAACATAAATCTCAGATAAATTGTCATTTGTCGTTTTATTTTATTCATTCTCAAAGTCATTCTAATCATGACTTAATTTGTAAAACTATTGAATATCACCATCGATTCAATAGCTTGCGATTCACTCCTCATCCATTTATCTAACACTTATACCTCATCAATCATGACATGTTGAGTGAAATTCATTACTGTGCACTATCTCATCTTTTGTGCTGTTTCATCTCTACAAATTATGGTGCATTGTGGTCAGGTAATTTCGTTGCATATGCGGATGAATCAGATAACCTGATACATACGAACGGTAAGCACCAAACTGTGTGTTGTGTTGTGAGTGGTCGGTATGTACGAATTACATGACTCGCAGTGTGGGTGAATTGATTATAGGAGACTGAGCAAGTTGGTATGTACGATACCAGTCAAGTGCAATGTAAGCGTTAAGACTGAGTCAGTAAAATCACATGAATCAGATGATCAGAACCAAAGTTATGAAAAACTGTTGACAAAGTTAACTTTGGGACATAACACTGGAACGTATCATCCGTTTTTATCATTATTTGTCCCTTGAGTTCCTAGTGGGATACACGGTTTCTGTAGCACAGTGCCATTTCATTATCTTCTATACAGTCTTCTCAACCTGGTTCCACCACTAACCGTAACCTTTCATTTCTTCCTCATACCATCTCCTCCATGTCATTTTCGGGCAACCAACTCGTCCTTTCCCATTTCACTTCCACTCAACAGCCTCACCTCACGCGCCATGTCCCAAAACTGTCATCTCAGTCTACGTCTCATCCAATGCTGCCTAAGTAGGTAGGTAGCTAGATGAAAAAGACAACTTCCTTCAGATTTATCCCGTTGAAGGTGATTGTTACTTGTGGTTGTTGGTTCGGTATCTTCATCAACTGTGTCTTATCTACGTCCACCTGAAGGAAGTTCTCACCTCTTCTGTCAACTTGTTGGTTTTCGCCTGTACATCTTCGAGTTTGTGCGACATAATATATTACACATAAATCATCATCATGGGCGAAATGCAAAACTTCTCACTCCTCACAAGTTCTTGCATGAACCAGTACAGTACAGTACAGTCGACCACAATTGGGAAGATCATTAGTAATACTAGGTAACAACCTTCTCTTACTCCTATCTTCAACTCACCTCACTTCAAAGGCATCACTCAGCTTCCCATTGTGAATCACTCGGCATCTGGCGTCTTCATATAGAGCTGTTGAATGAGGTTGATGAAGGTTTGTGGTATTCCATAGTGTTGAAGCAACTGCCAGACTACTTGTCGGTCGACGCCTCAATCGAAGGCCTTCACAAAGTCGATGAAGATGAGGTGGAGAGTTGACTGCCATTCCATGCTGTGTTCTATGATGATGGGGAGCATAGTATTGCAGTTTGATCTTCACATGATTTGTTCATCGTGAAGACAGCTAGCTAGCTAGCCAGCCAGCCAGCCAGCCAGCCAGCCAGCCAGCCAGCCAGCCTGCCTGCCTGCCTGCCTGCCTGCCTGCCTGCCTGCCTGCCTGCCTGCCTGCCTGCCTGCCTATTGCAGTCGTAATTTAGAATGCAACACATGCTTCAGTCTCTCCAGGATGATGCGGCTTAATATTTTGCTTGTTTTGTGTGGACAGCAAGTTCTTGCAAAGGCTTATGTCTCCGTTCTCTGGGATTTTGACAAGGTAGCCATTCTCCAAACCGATAAATACCTTTCCTTCCTTCGAAACCTTGTGTGAAGTGGTGTTGTGTGAGCATGTCCGTTGCTGATGTCTCTGTGTCTGTTTTCACTGTTTCTGACAGAAATCCATCTGGTTGTGCTGCTTTCCTGGATTTTAGTAACTTTCTGGTGTGGAGTTCAGGATTTCGGCTTTTGTTGTAGTGTTTGTGTTCACTGATAGTTCTGTATCTGGGCTGCTGTTGGCACAAGAAGTGGCTATTATAGCTCGGTGGTCTAGTGGAGAACGCTCTGGCATCTGAAACGATCGTTCCTGAGTTCGAATCCTAGTGAGAACAACACTCACTGGGAGGCAGATACATCCATCCGACTAGTGAGTCCCAAATAGGACGAAATGCTTATCAGGCTTTATTCCACTGACAGCTACTATATATCATTACTGTAAAATGAAATTATTCATTTAGAGGTTGACTCTGATAATACTTTCGGCATTTGGTCGGTGTTTTAGCTTAATTCCTTCGAAGTTAGCAACTTCATCAACTTCAATGTTTACTTCTTTTATTCATTCCTAGATGTATATCCGTAAAGAATCTTTTGATTATTCACAATCAACCAAATCACAAAATCTGACCTGAGTAATGCCAATAGTTGGTTAGCACTTTGTTGCTGACAATATTTCATCGCTGACTTGATTGAACTGATTGGTCTCTGTTGGTATATGAGCTACTATGGAATACACAATATTGAGTTATATAGGCTCTTATAAGTCTCCATCTTCTCTGTAGTACAGAAGCTCTTGCTATAAGCATGGAGAAACTGGAATTATGTGTACAAAAGAAACTTGTTCAACTTTCATTGCTAATTTGGACTAAGTAAATTGTTAAAAATCCATTGATATGTATCTCTCTCACATTCTTCAAAATTTTGTTATATCTTATCATATATTTTAACCTCGCCTGGTTAACTAGTTCACTAGTTACTAGCCGGTCATAAGTCCACACAAAGAGGGAAGGTTGGGCATAGGGCTAGCAACCCTACCCGTAAAACAAATCTAACCGCTAAAGAAACTTCAAAGCACAAACAAAATATAAAAAAGGAAAACAAACTTATTCCCCGCTGGAATCGGAGAGGCGAAATGACGCCAGTTGGTGAAAGCCTT